CTGCAGTCTTGGATTGTGGCTCTTTTTCCCTCCTGAAAATTTCCTGTGGAGCTTCAAGCTCTCTTGGTTTCCCTCCTGTCTTCTGATTACTCCTAGATGGTAACCGTCTGATAAAAGTCTTACCATATAAACAGTGCTTGTGTCAAAAGATTTCCATCTTGTTTCCCATTCTCCCCTGGCATCTATAGAATCAAATCACCAAGTACTGTGTTCTATATACTTTTTGTCAAAGTTGCAATTTGTTCCATGGCTGCTACCACAATCTTCTGCAGGCCCCCACTATCCCTCGCCAAAATGAGAATAGCCTCCCACTGGTCTTGCTGTGTCCAATCTCCCTTTCATCCCATCATAGTGTACACAGGATCAGGGTGGTCTCTAAATCTAAATCACACATCTGAACTTGACACTCCACAATTTCAAGTCTCAATGCCCACTCCACTGCCCTCATGTTGAAACCAGTTTCCTTGAGGGAGATGATCCTGGGCCTTCCTGGTGGCGCAAGGGATTAAGTCTCAGTACTATGAAGATATCGCCAGCCATGACAGCACGAGTTTGATCTCCAGCCAGAGAGGTGACCCACATGGCACAGCAGACCTCTCCTGTCTCTCCCGCTGCTCCCCTCAGCAGTGTATTTCAGTCAGTCTGCCTGTTCTGCTCCCCACTCTGTCTCTGGTGAATCCTCTCACATACACCCCATACACACATCCCTCTGGCCTGCATCCCAACTCTTGTGTGCATAAAATAACAAATATTTAAAAAAAAAAAAAAAGGGAGAAGATCCTGCCCTTCATTATTGGACTTTGTTATTGCTACAGTCTTATCCTGCTTTTTCCAACATGGCTGAATCTTGAGGGTGTTATGCTAAGAGAACTAAGTCAGAAAGAGAAAGACAAATACTGTGTGTTATCACTTAGATGCAGAATCTTAAAAAGCTGAACTCGTAGAAACAGAAAATAGAAAAGGGGTTACCAAGGCCTTCAGGTGTGAGAAATGAGGAGATGCTGGTTAAAGGGTACAAACTCCCAACTATCTGATAAGTCATATCAGGGCATCTGAGAACAGCCTGGTGACTATGATTAACAACACTGTATTATATACTTGAAAGTTTAGAGTAGGTCTAAGTGCTATCAACACATACACACTCACAAAATTGCAATTATTTGAGGGGACCATGTTAATATACGGGTCCAGAAGCCTCACTGCTCCACCCCCTGACTTCTTGAGTGGTGACAGCCAGAACTGAGAGGCAGAGCAGAGCTTCAGGTAGATACTAAAAGGAAGAGCTGGGGGGCTTCAGAGGGCCTGTCCGCTTCTGCCAGGCCTACTGCTCTCACTCCCACATCCGTTCCATGGGCCCGCTCCCCCTCTGGGGAAGGGGTCCGGTAGGAGACCTCCTGCTTCTGCTCAGAGTTCAGAGCGCACCCCTTTGGCTGGCTTCTGTCTGCGGCGGCTCTTATTTCAGCTACGGTGCTTTGGCAGGTGGAAGATCTGGCTCGCCTGAGAGAGATTATGGCAGCCGCCATATTGACTTTTGCAATTTGGTTCTCCCTTCTCTCCCTTTGGGCCTCATGTTTATGTTTCCTGTCAGGAGATTGCCTTGGATTCGCTCTCCTGGAGGTTCTGGTCTTGGGCCCTGCCTGCTTGGCTGAGTGCTTGCCAGCTGGTCCGGAGTCCATGTTTTGAAGTCCTTTTCTACTCCTGTCTGTTCCCTTTGAACCTCTCAGCAGTTAAAAATCTTTGGGCACAAGAGACTTTGATTACTCGCTGTTATCCTTACAGGTGAGCACAAACCCTTAACATGGACCACATGAGTTTTTTCCCTGAACATTTTGGGGCCCCTGGGCACCCCTTGGTTTTTGCCAGGTATCATTAGTTCACCTTGACTGTGGTAATTATTTTACTGTACAGAAATGCAGCTGATCATCACATTGTACACATTAAACTCACACGTGCCGCGTGGCAATAATATCGCAATAAAGTTGGGGGGGGCAATAAACCACAATAAAAAAAAATTCCGTTCTTCAACCTCTAAGTTCTATCCAACTTCTGAGCTTCTAACTAGTCATACGTGCTCCTCAAAATCAACTGTGCTTTCCTTTTTGTTCTTGTGATTTTCCTTCAACATTTGTCCCCGTCTACCATGGGCTAAATCTTATTCCGGCTTCATGTCTCACTCTTCTATCGTTGTTTATTTGTGTGGCTCTCCCCAGTCATAAATTAGTTGAGAGGAGGGACCATGGATGGTTCAAGGTCTCATTCCACTTCTTGGGACCAGTCATTATCTGCTCTCAATAAGTATTAGTTGAGCAAAGTTTTAATGTGATTTAGAGCAGGTTAGGTGGAGAGGTGGGCGTGGGAGGGCGGGAGCAGCAGTTCGTAGGAGAGTTACAGAGAGTTCAAGCTTCAAAGACAGAATCACCAAGACAGCAGAGATCAGGGTGGGGAGTGGAGCTGAAGGTCACCGGGCACTGAACACGAAGGAACTGTGGAATCCAACACATTGGATGAATGGCACTTCCGTGGCCCGGGAGAAGCCGGGTGTGGAGTGGGGTGAGGAGGGAAGCCGTGATTCAGGCTCCAAAGTCCTTTCACGGATGGTGTGATTGAGTCAACAAGGCCCTGTCTGCCTATGGCCCAGGTTCAGCAGAGAGGAAGGAAATGAAAGTGATGGGAGGGTCACACAGGACCAATAACAACTGCCAGAGAATGATGACCCTGCCCTGTGGCCCGAGATCCATCGAGGGACATTGTGTGGGCGAGTGAGGGGCTTCCGTTGAGAGCGTTTCAAGATGAAGATGTGGAGGGATTTCCCAGAAAGAGGTTGTGCCTACAAAGAAATATAAGAATAGAAGGGGCCTCCCTGGTGGCGCAAGGGGTTAAGCACAGCCCTGTGAAGCTATCTGCAGCCTCTGCAGCACCAGTTCCATCCCCCGTGGGCCAGGGAGCTACCCACATGGTGCAGCAGACCTCTCCTGTCTCCCAGCTCTCCCCTCAGCGGTGTAGTTCAGTCAGTCTGCCTGTTCTGCTCCCCACTCCCTCTCTGGTGACTCCTCTCGCCATCCCGCACCCCTGGCCTGTACCCCAGTTCTTGTGTGCATAAATAAATATTTTTTAGCGCAGCAGGTTGAGTGCCGCACTGTGAAGCAAGCTGTCCCAGCCTCTGCAGTGCAGTTTTGATTCCTGGCCGGCCAGGCGAGACCTCTCCTGTCTCTCCTGCTGCTCCCCTCAGCAGTGTCTTTGGTCCGTCTGCCTGTTCTGCTCCCCACTCTGAATTCTCTCACCCTCCCGTGCCTCTGACCTGTATCCTAGTTCTTGTATAAATAAATAACTCTTAAAAAAAAAGAAAAGAAATATAAGACTAGATGGACTTCCCAGAGATCCCAGAGGAATCTCCCCAGTGTAAATTCAAGTGGTCACCGAATAAGTTACAAATTCCTGCTCCAGAAACTTCTGCTCTCTGGAAGCGCCAATGCTTGCTTGAGGCTAGTTAAGAGATTAATTGGGAATCCTGCTTTGACTCTTAGAGCAAAGGCCTCAATCCCCCCAGCATATGGGATGTCCCACATCCATGCCTTCTTTCTTGGGGGAAATTTGGTCCTGACTTGTTTTTGTGGAATGTCAGTACAGGAGAGACCTTGCTTTGGTTGGCAATGCAGTTAAGAACTCCAGTCTTAAAAAAAAAAAATCTGCAGGGGGCTGGGAGGGATAGCAGAGCATTAAAGTCCTTATTGAACAAAGTCTCAAAATTAGGTAAAACTCTCTAGAGGAACCTCCTTCCAGGATTCTTAGACAGAAGCAAAGACATAGCTCCAGGAGGCCGCCCTTCCTCCAAGTCCCGGCTGGCTGAGGTCTTCTGGTCAGCTGACCTCTCTGAGGCCAGATAAACCCTGAACAGGAGCTTCTATTATGCTTGAGATAAATTGTTCTTCATCGGGATGAACTTTATTTTTAACATGCGGTTATTTATGTTTCCTACTTTTTATTAGGTTTTTCATATACATTTATTAGCAAGAGTCATATGCTTTTGTTGTTGTGTGTTGCATTTATCAAGATTTTGGTATCATGGCAATTACAAGAATAACAAGAATAAGTGTCACCCTTCCCCATTCTACCCCTACTTGTTAGAAATGCAGAATCCTGGGCCCCACCCTAGACCAATGGAACAATATCTGCGTTTTGACAAGACCCGCAGTAATGCACACAGACACTATCATTTGAGAAGCTACCTGGGTCTTGTCACTACTGAAATCTCCTTCCAGAATCTCATAACCTCCCCCATAGTGCTGACTCCGATCACCTTTCCACACATGGTTCATTCCGAAGACCCAAACACTTACAGGGTCTCCCCCCTCTTCAGCCCCCACTCGCCTCTGCATTTTCTCACTTCCTCCTTGCATGGCTTGAACGCAAACAGCCAGCCATAACTCCATTACTTCCTCGTCTAAACCCTCTCCTTCCTTGCCCCTCTCTTCCTCCGTGGAGCTCTCTACCAAAAAGGTAGGTCTCATTCTTTCTAGAATGAGATGGCTCCAATCCGGCTTTCTTACCCACCTTTGTGCTAAAACAGCTGTTACAGAGGCCACTAGTTACTTCTAGGTGGTGACATCAATGGCCAGCACTACCCTTATTGAAGTCTTAGCCACAGTGGAGGCACATATCCACCCTCCATCCCTGGCACATGGTGGTCTCAGGGTCTCCTCCCTCCCCTTACCCCCAATACCCTTTACTGGTTCCTTTTCATCTCTTTGCCCTCTCAATACTGGCAGCCTCGGTCTCCTCCTTGGCCTAGCCATTCATCAACATTCCCTAAATGTCTTTCTTCACTGAGCCTCTTATTATCATGGCATCATAATAATCCTGGATAGAGTCTGAAAACTGTCATCTGGCCAGAACCTCTCTCACCGGTTCTGGGCCTGGCCACTCAACACTATAAAAGCGAAGAGTCTTTGGTGCAGGGGAAAAAACCTATTTATTCTAACCGACAGGGTCGAGGGCTGTTTCATCAGCAACACCGCAATGATAAAGAAAAGAAACAGGAGTTGTGGAGCAGGCTGAGGATGCAGGACGCTGCTAAAGAGCAAGATCCTGGACTTTTTATTGACAGAGAAAAGGGTGGGTCAAGCTGAATACCGGATTTGGGGCTTTAGGGAAATCAAGTCTGCTGATACACTCTCAACCCCCACCCTTGGCTCCAATCTTATTAACAAGGCTTGTTCCATTGATCAGTCCCTGGGACACAAAGCACGTCAATGGCCCCCAGACGTTCCTGATCATACCTCAGGATGTACACCTAGCACCCCAGAGCGATCAAGCCTCCAGCTCTGTCTAATTTGAAAGGAGCCTTGTAGCTCCTTGTAGCTCCACCTACAGAGGACAAGGGAGAAGGTCCGTTACTGAAACCGTGTGAAGTGAAGCTGTTGTTACAGGAGCACCCTACTTTAAAGGGTTACCAGGCCTTTCCACCTCCCCTCAGACTGCCAGGATGGCTTTTCTCACAGAAGCTCTGACAGCAGAGCCCACAGGGACCTTGTTCCCTTTTAAAGGCGCCCCCCAAAATGGCCGCTCTGCTCTGCTCTGCCCCCTTCCCAGCAGCCCCTTGATTCTGGACCTCAGGGGTGGTCAGAATACCACTGTCTCCCCTCCCAGCTTGGGCAGTGCTAGACATCAGGGGACGGAGTTCATCCCTCACCCAAGTTTGTCCCAGCCTGGACGGCCCAGCTGGCAGCCCAGGGCTGCGGGGTACAGGGTCATTCCAATATTATGACATTATCTAAGTTTTAGGGTCATTAAGTATTGAGATTTTTACTTACCTTTGCGGGTTCCCAAAATTCTATTTTCATCTGCTTGGATCCAGACTCCAGGCTTCTATATCCAGCTGCGTGTGCAATGGGCACCTCCAACAGTATGACCCAAGATGAATTCACAAGTTTTGCCCTTCACCTCTAATTCTAATAAGTTTCAACTTACCAGATTTCTGATTAGTTTCAACATATCAGTTTGTGATTAGTTCCCATTTCACCAAACTGTATCTTCCAGTTAATTGAGAAAAAAAATCTAAAGCAAAAAAATGTAGAATCAGCAAAATCCTATCGATACTGCCTTTTACATGTATCTAGAACCCTATCAATAGTTCTCTCCTCCAGGGCTGCCACCCTGGGCCTCTTCTCCTGAGGATCATTTCAAAAGTGTTCTAACCAGCCCCCTGCTAACTCCTCAAACCCGGCAGGCTGGTCTTCACGCCACACACAGAGCCATCCTTTCCAAATGTCAGATCCTGCTCTTTCTCAGTTCCATCCAAAACAGCCTTCAACTCACTCAGGGTGAAAACCAAAGTCTCCAGGGGACCCCACTCTCCTTATCTCTACTTCTCCTCTCATTGTGGCTCTCACTTTGCTGGGCTCCATGGAGTACCACCTCAGGGGTTTGGTCCTTGCTCTTCCCTCTGCTTTTCCATACACAGATCCCAGAGCTTGCTCCTTCTTCACATAGCTGCCCCCGTAGGAATGTCACTGACAATACCCTGCCATGCCCCTCCTTAGGTGCTGTCGTTTTGTACACAGCACTGAGATGACCCCATGTTATAACACCCGTGTTGGGGATAGGGGGCTGTTTGTTCACTGCCCCATCATCTAGAATAGTGCTTGGCACACAGCAGATGCTGGAAAAAACCTGTTCAATTACAACTCCCCCCCCAAAAAAAAAAATAAAACAAAACAAAAAAACCAAAGCAATGCAAAGGAACAAAAATACACACGCATGAGTTTTTAAGTACCAGACTTGTCAGAACCTTGCAATGCATTGTCTCGTTCGTGCTCGTGAGCCTAGGGTGCTGTGTGATTACGAACAGTGTGTGTGTGTGTGTTGTGTGTTGCATGGGTAGGAACTTAGGCTGACCTGCAAGAAACAACCCATGGAAACTAAATGGTGGGGCCGGGATTTAAATGCACGCCGTTGAACCCTACTCTTCCGGATCATTCCATCATTTCCAACGTTCTCTCACCAAGGATGCAAAAATGAGAGGTGCATGTTCCGTGCCAGTCTCCAAAAGTCGGCTGCAGGTCTTCGGCAGACAGAGAGCTTCGTTTCGAGCTGAGGAGGCGGTGGTGGCAGGTGGCGGGCGGGTCCTGCAGGAGGAGGGCTTGGGGAGACGCACCTGCCGCGGCAGGTGGCAGGTGAGCCGGCCGCGCTCTCGCGCTCTGCTCGGGCGGTTCCGAGACGGCTCCCGCCCGGGCCTGGGCGCGCGCGGGGCGCCCTGAGTCCGCCCGGCCGCTCGGGGGCGCCCGCGGCCGCAGGGGGCGTTGCGGCGCGGCCCGACGTCGCGCCCTCGGCGGCCGCGGCTGCGCAGTGCGCACGTCAAAGCCGGGCTCGGCCGGAGGCAGCGGCGCGGCCTGGGGGCGGCCGGTGTCCGGAGCGCGAGCGAGGCGCGGCGCAGGCGGCGAGGGCCCCGCGGACGCCGCCGCGGCCCCGGAGCGAGCGCAGCAGCGCGGCGGCCGCCGCGGGAGCCCCTGGGCCGCCGCCGCGGGGAGCGGCCGCCGGCGGAGGACGACGGAGGGGCCGAGCGCCCGCGCCGCGGGGACCGAGCGCGCAGCCCGAGGCGGCGTCCGGGGCCGGGGCCGGCGACGGCGCGGAGGCGGGAGGGAGCCGCCCGGCCCAGCGCGGTGAGTGCCCGGCGGCCGCGGCCCGGCTTCCGCCGCCCGGCCCCGGCGCTGCCTCCATTTTCTCGGGCGGCGGCGGCGGCCCCGGCCCGGGAGCCGCGGGAGCCCGGGCGCGGCCTGCGCTTCCCGCCCGGCGCGGCCTCCGCGGCCTCCGCGGCCTCCGCGGCCCCGGGCGGGCGGCGGCACCAACTGTCACCGGCCCCCGCCCGCCCGCCGGGCGAACTTCCTGTGGTCGGGGCGGCGCGCCCGGCGCCTCCTCGGGGTCCCGGCGGCCGCGGGCGCGGAGGGGCGGCCGCGCGGGCCTGCTTGTGCCCGAGCCCGGCGAGGGGCCCGGGGCGCCGCGAGTCGCCGGGGAGGCCGGGCCGGGTCGGGGGCGTCCCGGAGGCCGCGGGGCGGGGCGGGGCGCGGGGACGGGCGGAGGCGCGGCTGGCCGCGGGGGGCGACTCCGTTTCCTGCCGGGAACCGGCCGCGGCGGGTTCGCGAGGCGCTGGGGGCGCGGACGGACGCGGGACGCCGCGGAGGGGCCCAGGGAGCGGCGTTTGGAGGGACCCTTGGAGCGCCCGTTGCAGCGCGTTTCTCTGTGACTCACGAGCCCGGAAACGTCAGCCGGAGGGCCCGGAGCGCGCGGGTGGGGGGAGGCGGCCGCGGGGAGGGACGGGCTGTGCTTGGGGTGGAACAGGCTTGAAAGCGATGGGGACGGCGCCCCCCGTACTCGGGCAAACCCCCGTGCGGGCCGCGCGCAGCCCCGCCGTCGAACGCCTCGTCAGGTCCAGGGCTTTCCGAAGGTGATGGACGGACGGATAAAGGCCGTAGTCAGCGCTCCCTCCGCGAGCGCGCCTCTGATAGTGCAGCTCCCCAGCGTGTGTCCTCTCACGACTTTGCACTTTGTGTTAGGTGTGTCCGCTTTGGAGCGAATGACCTGGAGGGGCCCCTTACAGGAAGCCAGGTCAGATGGGCGCGTTCAGAAAGATTGTCACTAACCCGAGAGAGACGCTGGACACAGACCCTTTTTATAGAAAGATACATTTTCCTGGTTTTTAATTTGGAAATCTTTAGAGCAGCATCAGAAGTGAAAATCGTTAGCTTTGTTTTGTACGTTTTCCCCTAAATTGCTAACAAAGAATTAGTGCCTGTGTTCGAAGACTAGACGGTGTCATCTGTAGAAGCAGCTTAGAAACTGTTGGAGTTGGACACACTTATTTGTTGTTTGTGTGTATTACAAGTATCAGCGTTTTCCCAGTTAAAAAGAAGACCTTGTGTCCGTGCAGACAGTACTGGACAAGCATTTTTTAAACTATCTTCTGTGATTTTACCACTTAGATCTGGCCAGTGTTAACATTTTGGCATATTTCTTTTCAGTCTTTCTGTTCATAACTAAATAAACTGTGTGTATATGTGTGTGTATATATATATATATATAAACTTATTTTTTGTGTCATTAAATATCTTCACATAAAAATATTTTTCCCCAGACAAGGGATGTCTTCTGAAATGTATTTATATTTTTTCTGACAAGTTGCAGTATTTATCTTAGATAAAGTGCAGGGATCGTGCTTAGGAACTGCTACTGTGGATTGAGCTTTTCCAAAGACTTCTTGTTTGAAAGATATTTGTTCGCTTCCCTGTGAGACTTGGATTCTGTTACTGGTTGAGATGCGCTTGGGATGCATGTGGTCATCAGGTATGGAACAGTCTCTGCTGTGTGAGTGGGTGTACTGAAAAGAGAACTCTATAGAAAGATTAGAAAGATTGCATTTGTGGCTGGTACAATATCTCCTTGTCCTAGGCTGTACCTCCCCATCCCACCCCACCTCCACAACCCCCTAAAAATAGTCATTATAGTAGGGACAACCTTATAGGTTGACTACTTTTTGATCATGACATCACAAAGATCCAGGTTAGATATATTTAGGTTTTCTATTGGTATTTCTTTAGTAAAATATAGAATTAATGATGAAATAACTTGCTGCTACAACAAGAAGATTTTTTGGCTTTGTTTCAGGGCGGTTCATTTCAGTGTGTTAGCATTTCATGCTGCAGGTTCTTTTTCTTTTTCTTTTTTTGCAAGTTCTTTTTCAAATGAGTTTCTTCCACTACATTCAAAAATGTAATAATGAGTTCTCTGTTTCTGATGGCATGTAAAGTGATATGCTGATAGGTTAAACTATACAATTTTCCATAAAGTTAATAGAAAACTGCTCGTGAAGTCCAGTTTAAATGTGAGGTTTGGTTTTATGACTTGATTTTATTTAAAACTTTATATATTGCACAGGTGTATACCACAAGATCCTCTATTACTTTGGGATATTTACTACAAAGTTTTTCTTTTGGTCAACTTTTGTGGATTGTAGACTTTTATAATTATATCGCCAAGAGCCTTTTTTCCAGTAGGCATTGATCACTGATCATTCAGTCTAACCATTTGCCATAAAAATATGGACACACCCATATGATCCCCCTCTCCCCCAGCTTTACAGCATGTGAAAATAAAATCCAATAAAATATAGGGCAGAATTTCTTTTCAGGTGGTGTCTTCTGGTTACTTTGCTGGTGGTCTTTTTTTTTTCTTTCAATATTTATTTATCTATCTATCTATTTATTTATTTATTTATACAAGCACTGGGTACAGTCAGAAGTGTGGGAGGGTGAGAGAATTCACCAGAGCCAGAGCGGGGAACAGAACAGGCAGAAGGACTGAAGGACACTGCTGAGGGGAGCAGCGGGCGGCAGGAGAGGTCTGCGCGCCATGTGGGACCTTCGCCCAGCTGCTGGGGATTGAACCGGCTGCAGGGGCTGCGGGCAGTGTGGCAACCCAGCGCTCAACCTCTGTGCCACCGGGGAGGTCCCACTGGCAGTCTTTTTATTTAAAAAATCCATTTCCATCTTTTTTGTGGCTCCCTTTAATTAGCAATTTGACTTTATGAATGTTATCGGGTGTAGAGATAAGAATACGATAGGTGGCTTGTTATGGATAAAAGCAAAACTTGGTTGTGTGAAACTGTCGGTAAAATTTTTTGTCATGTGATAAATTGGGGGAAAGAGGATTGAATCTGTAAACTTGGCTTAGATTGTGTGTGACTTGTTTTGTTGTTTACTTATTAAGATGTAAAGATCTTGCATTTGAATGTAGATCAAGCCTAGAAACCGAGAAATTGCATAGCAATTTAGCCATCAGCCTGTATTTTGGCTTTTATTGGAAAGAAGACCTGTATTGGAGTCTGCCTTAAAGAAGGGCTCAAAGCGTCTTGAGAGCGTGTCTCTCCGTGTTAGTGGGCTGTCTAGATGAACCTGAATCACCAACTGTATCCATCCAGAATTCGGGGCCAGAGCAAGTGAGGCAGACTCCTGCACCAGCATTGGTGGGACATGCCTGTCTGGGCGTAAATGCTAAATGCTCTGCTTCTGTTCTGCAGGCTTCCAAGGATTGTGAGAGTCATCAAGAGACAAGGTGGTAGATGTTAGACTGATGGTGATGAAATTAAGGTGAACAGCTTGTTGCCATGGACATTTTGTTTTGGGCTGTGTGTGCACACGAGTGTGTGTCATCCTCTGATGTGTCATTTCTACCTTTGTGAGCTTCCTGGCCCCATTGTGTTTTTAACTTTTTTCTTGAGGGGCAAGGGACTGCAGAAATGTGGTTTATAGCAACTGTGATTTTCAGCTGGCAGGGACCGGAAGAATGGCATGCAGAGAATTTGCGGGAGGTCAGTCAGGTGTGAGGTGGCCCCAAAGGAGGGCGGTAAAGCCTGCTGTGGCCATTTATATTGGCAGCCCAGCACATACCTATTTGCTAATCCTTAATAGATTATGTTTGACTTGAGACCCACACAATGTGTAAGTTGTACGTTTGTGCTTGCTTGTTATGTGTATCATGCGTTTTCATATGCATCCTTACCAGACTGAGAAAATCCAGTTAACTGACATTTAGTGGCTACTCTGGTTGTATATGATCATTACTCCCTGGGAGCATTATCCAGCAGATAAATTGTTGCTGCTGACCAAGGACTTAGGATGTTAAAAACATTACAACTTTATTTTGAGAAAATGTTTGCTGAGAAACAAAATACACATTTTGTAGCTTGATCTTAATTAAGTTGCTACTTTATAACTTTGTCTAATGAACTGTAGCTTGCTCTTTTATAGGGTAATGGAAAGGTGTTCATTGTTCTCTCCCTTCGAAGTAGTTAAGTATGAGATCTGGGAGGATTTAGCAGGAACAGATTTTCGTTTTCATGTCTGTAGTTAAGGTCGTTTTGGGAATTTTAGGGTTCTGAGAGGCAGTCATAACAGTGGTTCAAAACAGGTGCAGCCAGCCCCATGCAGCCTTGACCCCTCCGCCCTTCTGTGGGCTCTGCAGCCTTAGGCAGAGCCTAAATAAAGGCAGGTTCCTTTACTTCTCTTGAGCTTCCGTTCCTTGTGTGAGAGTGACATAGACCATATCTGAGGAAACTGGGGGGGAGTTGAGAGAGTTACTGCTCTACAGTGTTTAGAACCGGGCCTGGCACATACCAAGTGCCACACATAAATTTTGTGATGCTGCTGATAGAAGGTTTCAGGAAGAAATGCAGGCCTTTAGAAAGCATCTCATCAGTGTGGTTCCTTGTGCCAAGACCCACCCTGACAGAGCAGTGCATGGCTCACTTGGTAACTGGAGGTGCTTTTGTAACAGGGTGGTCCCCAGGAAAGGGGGAGGTTCCCTGCCCCACCCAAGGGAGGGTGGAGCTGAGCAGGAAGAGGAGAAGCTGCAGAAGAGACTGAGGAGGGAAGCAGGATGGAGCCAGGAGACCTGGAGGAGGCGCATGGAGCCTAGAGACACGTGAAGAAGCTGCGCTTGTCTTTTGGTCGTGGACGGGGTGACACAGATGTAGGTGAGACCCGTGGGGAGGTGACAATGGCAGCTTTTATCTTGATGTTGATTTTGCTCTTTTCCTTCCGGACTTGTCCGGTTGTTTGTGACCCTTTTCTGTGGGTCCCCACTGGAAGATGCTTTAGACTTTTAGCAG